GGCTCCAGTTTGCCCTCCACAGCTGGCCCCTGACCTCTTGGTCAGCCGTTGAGGACCTGCAGGCCCGGAACCCACACCTCTCCACAGATCCCACCCCTGATCATGCACATGGCAGCGTTGGCAGGGTCCAGGGCTCCAGCACTGAAAGCGATCCCGGGGCCCCATTCCTTCAGGGATCCTAAGGATTTTCTGCTGCTGTGGAGCCGCTCCTGCGTCCACGCTGTGTGGTCAAGTGCTGTTTGTCAGCTTCCCGGCGGGGCGGGGTGTGACCTGTCGGGTGGTGGTCCTGGTGCACTCTGTGTCCGGCTCTTCATTAGCAAGCTGCTGGCTCTTTCTGGAATGTTCTGTCGCGCCACCTTTGAGGCCTCAGGGAACAGCCAGCTGACGTGAAAGGCATTCAGCCGCTGGCCCTGGTATCTTTAGAGGCGCTCTGAGCCCTCTGAGGGGGGAGAAAGGTCTCCAGCAGAGGGTGGGGAGCAAAGCTATCATTCTTACTGGCTCCATGGTAGTTTGCTTCTGGGATGCAGTCAGAGATCGCCCTCCTCCCATGCCGTCAGGGTGGTTAGTGCCGCCTGCACGGTCCCCGCCGCCAGCGAGTCCAGTCCAGCTCTCAGGCACCCCACTTGAGCGCACACTCACACTCACCCTGCCGGCTCAATTCGACACACAGCGGCCTCAAGGACAGATCAGAACTGCTCCAAGCCTGGAAATCTTAGTAGGAAGCCTCATCTCTCTCCCTCGGAGTGGCTGACCTTGAAGTCAGTGGCCAGCATGTCGCCCTCTGCACCATCAGGGCTCCAGCCACCCTAAGGATGGAGTGAAATGGCCTCCCGGGCTTTCTAAGTCTGTAAATCTGTACACAAGCCGACACCTTATTTTTCTCCCGCGGGGCAGCTGGTGGTTTTGAACCACCAACCTTGCAGTTAGCAGCCCAGTGCTGAACTGCTCCACCGCCAGAGAAGGCAGTGCAGGGTCATGTCTGAGAGTAACAGCATACCCTGTGATACCGAAGGAAGACCCTCCTCCTTAGAGGGGGTCATTTGTCCTCTGGGGGATAAGGTAGAGAGGTGGTGTTCTGTTGCCCCTTCACTCCCTCCTCGTCATGGACCTGGTAGCATGGCCATTCAGCACTCGGTTGCCAGTCTCCCCACTGGCGGTTCAAATGTACTCTGAGGCTCCACGGGACAAAGACCCGGGATTGTGCTCCCCTAAAGCTGCTGCCGTAGAACCCTTCTGAGCCAGGTCTGCTCCGTCCCATGGGGTCACCGCCAGTTGAAAATTGACTTAGCGACGTGCAGCAGCCACCGTGTCCCCAGGCCTTTGCCGATGGAGCGGCAAGCTCAGTGGACTCAGGGTAACCAGGCAAGTCTGCCGTTGCTCAGGCTCGGCATGCCTCCTGGTGTGCCCCTCACTCTGGGCGGCATGCCCAGCATTCCCTGTCCTGCTCAGGGTGGCATGCCCAGCACTCCCTGTTCTACTCAGGGCTCGGCATGTGTGTGTGCGGAGAGCCGTCCTTGCCATTTGGTGAGACAGAGCCCGCAGTCTCAGGTCCTCGGATCCTCCAGGCCCTGTTTGCCCACTCTACAGCCCCCCCCCCCATTGCTGAGAGAGAGCTGCCTCCAAGGGGCCCAGGGGGTGCTGCATAGGCAGATGGATGAGTGCGGAGTCCGGGGAGCCGCAAGCCTGGCAGACGAATGCTTCTGGGCTGGGCGGTCTGTATCGATCCAGGCGGGAGGTGAGGGTGAGCCAGCCAGGCCCGCATCCCTCAGTCTTGTAGCTTCTTGCCTGGGGGGCTGACAGAGTGTGGGGGGTTGAGCGGTGGAGGCACAGACGGTGGGGCAGGGAGAGAGCCGATGCTTCACCAAGGTGAACTGGCATCCAGGGTGAAGCCTCGGGCACTCGGGGGAGGGAGGGGGCCACTCCCATCTGTTTCCCTTCCCCCAAGCTGAGCCGGGGCCAGGAAATGAATCACACCAGCATCTGCAGTCCCTGCCACTGCTGCCCACAGCTTGTGCTGGCCAGGGTCCACTCCACCAATGGACGATGGCCCCGACACCCATCTTTAGAATCTGAAAACACAACAACAAAATCTTGCAAAAACAAGGACGTCCCCTGGAGGACTGTGGTGCGACGGACCCAAACCATGGTCTTTTCAACTAGCTCCTGTGCCTGCAGCAACTGAGCCGTTCTGACTCATGACCTTACAGGACAGGTGGGAACTGCCCCTGTGTGTTTCCAAGATGGCAAATCTTTACCGGAGTCGGAAGCCTCATCTTTCTCCTGTGGAGGGAACGGCCAATGGTTTTGAAGCGCTGGCTTCGAGGCGATCAGCCCAGCGAGGCGCGTACTACATCACCAGGGTTTGGAGATAGCATGGCTAGGGTCGGGCACACACCTTAGTCCTCTCAGCCGCACCTGCGCTCTGCAACCCCGGAGAGAGGCCTGTGCCGCTCCTATGCCAATGCACTTCCTCTTTGGTCCCTTGACCGCTGCTGCCGGGTGCACTGATCGGAGAGCCCAGCTAGATGCCATCCTTGGCCCCGTCGTCACTCTGGTTTACCATGGCGCGTGCTGGTCCACTTGTGAAGGCTGTGGTTCTTCTCTTGAGCTGTCACCCACACTGAAGACTGCCACCCTCCGTCTCCATCAGCAAGGCCGCCAAGTCGCCTCACTGTCGGCAAGCAAGGCCGTGCCGTCTGCCCACACGGGCTGTCCATAGCCCCTCCAGTCTCGACGCCACCTTCTTCTGCAGCACACACATGGAATGCGTGTGACGAAAGGGTAGGCGAGGTTTCTGGGGTCGGTGGCACCTCGGTTCTCGGCTCTGCACAATGGAAGAAGTCACGCCCAAGGCCGTTTTGGCACCCAGTGTGTTTTTAAGAAGGACAGGACACGTTTCGGGTTGTACAGTCTCAATGGGGTTCACAACTGGGCCCCAGAAATCACGTGGAAAAGAGCGCCCATGCGTGCAGATCTTAGAAGGGGGCGC